TCTCTCTCTCTCTCTCTCTCTCCTCCCCCTGCCCTCCCCCCTCAAGAAAGCAGTCTGTAATGATATGAATGAAGGGAGAGGTTGCAGTGGAGGGAACCACAGAGTCAGAGAAGACGTGCTGACTGATCACAAGTGTCCAGAGAACAAGGTGGTATAGCATAGCATCTTTTTTTAACATCGCCCAACTTCCTCTTTGGCCGCTTTGGTTGTCATTTCTTGCAGTGCTTTATTATTGAAAGCCTGTATCAAGCTTGTACACAACGTGCACGTGTATTTTAGTTACCTTTGGGAAGTCATATCGACACGTCGAGAAAGCTGTTAGAAAGGACTGCCTATGGAAAAATGCCGAGGGTGCCAACCTGGATGCAGTTTGGGAAGTCATACGGATATGTCGACAAATCTGGCAGAAAGGTAGAAAGGACTGAGAAAAAATGACGAGGGTGCCAACCTGGATGCAGTGATGGTAGACATGGTCACCATGGAGTCTTCGAGGGCCATAATCACATCTTCAACAGATCCCAGAATGTAGACATCCTTGCTCTCTTTGTACAGCTTCACTGTGAATTCAATGTCTGCCCACTGAAAGAGACGCAAATAAAGAACGAAGAGGGAAGGATTGGAATCACATCAAAGGACCACAGGAGGCGAGGGAGTGAGTGAGGAGAATTGTAGGAGGCGAGCAAGAGAGGAGAGGGGAAAAGGTTAGGATAAGATAGGGTCGAGGAGCGAGAATAAAGGAGGCAAGGCAAACATAAAGGAGAGGCGATGAGACAAGAGGGCAGGGTTGACGATGGGAGTACAGAGATGAAAGAGAAGATGACAAGCGATAGCGGGAAGGTGGGTGGAATGGGGGGGGAAGGGGAGAGGGGGGAGGGGGGGGGGGGGGGGCGGAGACAAAGGGAGAGGAGAAGAGGGGAGGGTAGGATCAAGAAGGTGCAGGAGAACGTAAGGTAACAACGAAGGTGAAGCGATGGAGTAAGAGGCAAGAGAGAATAAAGCAGGAAGGGCAAACATGCAGGAGAGGCGGTGAAGCAAGACGGCAGGGATGACAACGGG